AATATGACCACATTTGAATGGTATTTGTCATTTATCGATAGAATAATATTTGAATATCTAAGTTCTTATAGATTCTAATAGAGAAAGATACTCTCCATCAAATGAATCTATTTTCGACAGATTTAAATCAACTTTTAGGTTAAAAACTGGTGTTTAAGGCTTTCAAAGAGTACTTCAGATCTTTCTTATTATCTGAGTGCGTTTGAAAAAAGTTCTAATATTTGTAATCAGCATACTTAACACACTATCGAACTATAAAGACTTGTAACAAAACAACGATAAAAAAAGATTGTTTTCGATACCTGAGGGAATCCCAGGTATGAAAAAGTGAGACGTGATAAAATACAAAATAAACTTGTAAAAACTAATCAGGGTTCAATACTGATTTTCAAGCTAATAAAACTAGATTCAGCTTCTTTGAGACGTTTGATCCGTAATTTGACACATCTCCTCCTTTGAAAAAACAAAAAAAAAATATCTTTATTTTTTAATAGATGGATCGTATGGAAACATCAGTACAATTAAAAATTAATCTTCTTCGTATTAATCATATTCATTTAAATAGTCGTTTACCTGTAAAAATAATTTCTACACCTATATGGACACGTTATGCTGTACATGTTGTTGTACAAGATGAAAATACACATTGTCTTCGTTTATCAATTTATAATTGGTCATATATTATGAATACACGACAAATAAAATCCTATAATTATATACAAGAATGTTTAACACGTCTTTTACCAATAAATTCATGTATTGTTATATTAGATCCATGGTTTAAAATGTGTCATGATGGTGAAATAGGATTACGTTGTGAATCACCAAATACACATTTATTAATGATTGATTTTGAAACACGTTGTTCAACAAGTAATCGAATAAATGTTGATCAATTACGTCAATGGGGTAATACATGTTATCAAGCTGATGATAATCTTGGTGCTATTCAATTTTATACATATGGTTTAAGACAAATTGATGAACAACAAGAAAAAGAATTAACATCCAAAGGAAAATCAAGTATGAACAAGTTTTTCTTTCAAAATAAAAAGAAATATATGAGTCATATCAGGCAAAACGGAAACAGACACATCTTTCATTTGATTTTGATTATTTTTCTGAATAAGTTCTTTTAGTAATTTGCTCTTCGAGCTGATGATTAATTAATTTAAAGCTATTAGCGCAATCTCTGCGAGATTAAAATGTCAAATATAATGTAATTGTTGTTACTAATCACAGCGATATTGTTTTATTCCATCGATTTTGGAACATATTTCTTCACTATCCTTTTACTTAATCTTCCAGAAATCTCATATATGTATCACAATTCGGAATGTTTTTTTTAAAACTACAATGCATGAAGTGAAAGTCAATATCCGTTTTTGTGTCACGTCGCTAACGCTAGAATTTTTTTTTACTGATAACTTCTCTGAACAAAAGATCTCTAACGCTGATTTTGTAGAGTAACTTAGCATACATGTAGCATCAAAAATTAGACCTAGAAAAGTTCATTATCTAGAGATAAATGTCTTTTAGTTTTGCAAAGTGACGTCGCTAACCAATGATTTTGCCATTGTTCCTAAAGTCTGCCGAAAAAAAAACAAAGCATGAATAAATTTTGAATAATTCAAGCAATATCCATGACCTTTCCTATAGTTTTATTTTACGTTTTTTTGTTTCAAAAGTTTTATCTTCAGTCATTGAAATACATAATCCATTGTCTGCAAATATTTGAAAAAAACGGCATTACATGAAGTTTCCGACGAAATTATTTTATTTTCGTTACCCGATTCTTATTGTTATTTCAATATGATCTTTAGTAGGTATCGTCTTTTATGTGTCTTCATAGAAAGAATTCGAATGGTGCGAAATGACACGACTATGAAGTTCATCGAATAGAATCAGTTCTTTGAATTTCCAATGATAGGAAAAATGTTGCTCACAACTTAATGTGATATAGAGACGAAACTCGAAGAAGTATAATTTTGTTAAATTATTTATTGAGCTCTGTTATGATTTAATATGCTGTTGAACAAACCTTGCGAACAATTGATACACTCTTTCATTACTAACATGAGCTTCAATGACTTTTTCTTGTGTCATTACTGTAAAACATTCAGAATACTACCGATCTATTACAACGTCATCTTTATTTTGCGTTTCTTTGTCAAATTTAACTAGCAGTTTTCATATGAACTATTGTAGATAAACTAAATTTGGTCCGCTAATAATTAGAACAGATTGTATTTTAAGGTTCATAAGTATAGTTAAATATGCTGTATAAAACATTGATGAGTATAGAATTAAATAATAAAAGAGACATATAAATCGATTGAACTACTAAAGAGTTATTCAAATTTTATTTTTGTAACATTCTGTATTTTATACATTTTTTTGTTTTGTTTTTGTTTTAGTTGGTCCAAAAACGGATGAATGTGAACAACATCGTATTCGTCTATTATCAAATCGATGTGCTTGTTATTTACGTGAACGACATGCAGCTTTAGCTTTAGCTGATACAAGTATACTTTTATCTATAAATGAATTATCACATGTACTTGAATCACCAAAAACAACTGCTGGCAAACTTCTTTTTCGTTGTCTTAGTGCACATCTTCATTTAGGTTTATTTGATAAAGTTGAAAGTCTTATCAAATCTCATAAATTTAATATTGGTTTAAGAAATGGAGAAAATTTAGCAGCTATAACTATACTTGAACGAGAATTAATAAGACTTCGTGATGAAAATATAAAAGGACGATATGATCTTCAAGGAATGTTATATGAACAAATATCAATTCATAAAAATGATAAACCACCTTTAATGTTTATTGATTTATCACATTATCATGCTGAATGTAATCGAAATGATCTTTTTGAAGTACGACCATGTCGAGTAAGTATTAAATAGAAATTTTTTTTTTTTTTTTTTGATAATTTTATTTATTTAGCCAGAAGAATTAACTAAAAATGGATATCCAAAAGGTTCTTATGGTATTTATGCTTTAAAAAATATTGAACCAGGTACTTTATTAATTGTTGAACAACCATTTGCTAGTATTGATAATCGAGTTATTGGTGAACAACGTTGTTATTCAATGAATTTTTGGCAAACAAATGAAAAAAATTCTACTATTGAATATTGTAATGATGATATATTACGTTTATTAAATGAAGTTGAAAAACAATTATTAATTGGTAATAATAGTTGGATAACATTTGATAAAATTAAATTAATGCAACCTATTCGACAATGGTTAATTGAAAGAAAAAATGATAATGAAACTGAACAAGAAAATAATAATGATACATCTGAATTATTAGACAATGATCAAATGTTAGTTTTATCAAAAAAACAATGGCAACAACCATTTTCTAAGTAAGTTTATATGAATTTTTTTAAAGAATTTGATTATTGAATAATTGCGAAGATTTCCTAAAAATATTTGAAAATCTTATTTAAAAAAACTCTTTATACAATATGCTAGTAGCAAAGATGCTAACAAATATTTTAATGAAAACAACAAAAGATCAGGCTCAACTGTCTTGACTATTTAAACATTCAATAAATGATCGAATTACACAGACGAAACATCACGAAATCAGGTCAAAGATTAGAGACCAATGAGTATATTTTCCCCAGAAATGAGAGGCGGAAGAAGGCTAACTATCATTGGGTACGGTTCTATAGCAACTGA